TCTGCTCTCCATAAAGGTAAGGACATGTACAGTCCTTGCTCAAGAACACATCCATCTCTGAGTCCTGGTGCCTCAGGAAAAGCTTAACCTCACTTTTTTTTTTTTTTTTTTTTTTTTTTTGAGACAGGGTTTCTCTGTAGCTTTGGAGCCTTTCCTGGGTCCACTCTGTAGATCCACCTATCTCTGCCTCCCGAGTGCTGGGATCAAAGGCTTGCTCACCACCGTCCAGCTTTTATCCTCACTTTCTTACACTGCTAGAGTCAACAGGGAACAAGAAGGAAGGAGGACATTAATAAATGGAAGGGAGTGAATCTGAATTGCCTGGAGGACATGGACAGAGTTGGTGAGGGGAAAGGTACCATGGTGCTCAGAGGGCCAGTGACTACATTCTCTCGTCACCCGGCCTCCTTGGAGGCTGAGGAGTCCCAAAGCTCTGCAGCTTCAGAACACTGCCACACGCCTTTTCAAACTGAAACCTGTAGCCTCCCTGGTCTCCTGTTGTCACAACCTGTTTTCTGGGTGACTTATCTGCTAAGGCTAGAGAAGGGGAAAGTCACTTTCAGATGTCCCCAAGATAGTGTGACTGACATCAGAAAGGAAATACCTCCTGGGAGGATTGGAGGAGAGGCCAGAGATCAGCTGTCAGATGCCAGAACTTACTGAGGCACTGGAGAGAGAACTCTAACAGCCCAGAGGGAAACACACTTCCTCTCGCCCTGTAAAGAACAGCTCCGGAGAAATGAGCATCTCTAGAAAGGCACGGGCTATCTTTGCTGTTAACTCTCTCTCTCTCTCTCTCTCTCTCTTTTTTTTTTAACAGTATCTTAGTGCAATTTCCCGTTGAGACCATGTGAAGAAACACATGCGTGAATGTGTCTTGCTTCAAGGACTGTTTAGTACTCCCTCCCACAAAGAGAGCCTAACTAAGACAGATTTCCGTCTGTGACTGGTCGCCCCGTCACTGCGTGGTTCTTGTATTACCTGTTATAATTTGTTTAAATACTGCAGAGTGTTAAGCATCCCCACACAGCCCAGTACCTGAACGCCTAGAACAACCATAGGCCAGTACTTAGCCAGCAATCTCATGAAAGCGGGGACTGGCCTATCTTCCCAACTCTCTCCTCTACCCAGCTTTAATCAATGACCTCAGCAGACCCACAGGCTGTGTGCCCTGTGGTTCAAAATGCTAGGATGACTAACCTGCGCCTGGGCGCTGAGGAAAATGGAAGGAAGCCCCAGCAATGGCTTTGCATGTGGTAGGTGAGCTGCTGTTGACATGGGAATGGTCAATAGTGAAAGAGGCAGAACAGTACATGGAGAATTGCCAGTTTCCTGAAATGGTGAAAGGACATGCAATGCATCCAAAAGCCTGACAACTTCCTTCTGTTAGATTACAAGAGACATTTTACCTAAAATAGACACTTTGCTCAGCAGAAGGAAAACTCGAAGAAAACATAGGCCACCTCAGAACACTACTGTGTATCAGATATTTTTTTGTTGTCTCAGCATGTCCTTTTTTTGGGGTGAGGGGGTGAGGGTAGTTGGTAACTAGTCTACGTTTGGCACAATATGGGATTTAAAAGAAATCTGATATATAGTCATTAGGCCCCAAACAATATGTCAGTTGTCCACATTTCCAGGCAAAGGTTAAATCCAGACATTCCTGGTTTCAGAGCCTTTTGTGTATGAACAAATAAGGCGTCTTAATGAAGAAGTAGGTACAAGCCTTTTTTGATATAAGATAGAAACAAACGGGAGAATATCATATTCTATTTTGGTTGGCAGAAGACATCAGGAAGTACTCCCACGGAATGATCTGGAATGGATCCTGGAGTTTAGAATGTCTCCCAGGTGCACTATCTCCTCAATGGAACATAATCGATGGAGCACTGGACCTCTTCCCTCCATCGCCACGTCTCTTCCACCACCCCTCCCTTCGTGTCCAGAGATATTCTGAAAGCAAATACGTTTTTGGTGCAAACTTAAGCTCTGATCGGTGAGATTTGTAAATGAGGATCCATCTACCAATTTATGTCAAGTCTATGAGAAACAGCGTTCCTGATGGCCTAGATCCATTACAGGTACTTTCAAAAACAAACAAACAAACAAACAAAAACAAAACAAAACAAAACAAAACAAAACCAAAAAAAAAAAAAAAAACCAGTGCAGTAGATGGGGAGGGGGGTAAAGGGTACAGTCTTGGTGGGTCTGCCTCCATCAGATTGTCTTCTAACTGCAGTGTGTCTTCCAGGGGTGGAGCAAAGGCAGCTCCAGGGGTTCTGAAATGAGATCTACTTAAAATCGCTAGGCACGGGCAGCACAGACAACACGAAAACTGTTCTAACTTGGTTATTGTCTAATTTTCAGTATGTCCTGAAGGTAGGCTTCTCATCAGCAGAAAGCAGAGAAGATGAAGCCAGTCTCATTTTAGTCCCTTGGAGAATAAAACAGTGTCATCCTTTTTCTCTACAGATGGGAAAACTGAGGACCAGTAAGACCAGTGACTTAATTCTTGGCCTTTTTGCTAAGATCAAGTGCATTCACCCCAGAAAGATCTCTGCCTGGTTGTGGAGCCTTGTGCCTCTGAGACCCCATCGATGTTGTGTCTTAGATGTGCTTCTGTTGAATGTCATGGTTATATCTTCATCTCTAATTAAACCCAAGCAAGCTGCATCACATACTTTGGGAGCAACTAGGACACTGCCATGGGCAATAAAGGTAATGCACAATGAGAAAGCCTGAGGAAACAGCATGAGAGCTGGGAAAGGTGGTGACCAAGAAGGTTTGTGACCACTGATTGTCCAGGAGATTAGAAGAGATCCCTCTTGGGCCACCTGGGAAGCCTGGGGTAGATGAAGGGGATAGATGGCAGATGGTCGTACAAAGTAGGGTTCTGCATCTAGATAAAATTCTGAATAACTGTGTCTTTCAGTTTGGAATGCCATTGATGTAGTTAGACTATAAGACAGAGAACAGACAAGTTGAGACCAGAGATTATCCAGTAAGTTCACTACCACTCAAGAGCACAGAAAGCAATGCCCTTGTATATGTCAGTTTTCCCTTTGTGTGGGGATATAGAGATTCGTATTTTATTTTTGCAGCATTTTCTTTACATGCCACATTCAACCAAAAGATCTACCCTGGGCCCCACATGCCTTTTTTTTTTTTTTTTTTTTTTTTTTAGAAGACAAATCACGGGTAAATAGGAGGTGGAAATGAACCCACATGGAAAATGAATAACGTGAAAGATACTTTCCTAGTTTTTTAAAATACAGGTTTGTTTCCCAGGGAGGCAAAAGGAAACAGAATTGAGTTCTGTTTTGGTCCCTGCTTTGTTGCTATCTTTCAAGTCAATCATGCCTAGTCTTAAAGATTTTCCTTTTTCCGACCACCTCTGTCTGCAGATTTTGCTCTGATGTCCTCAATGTCCTGGGTCTGAGTATCTATTTTATCTCCTGGGAACTACTCTCTGCCACTTCCCATTTTAACTCTAGGCTGTCCCCTCTACCAAGCCTGAATTACTTGCTGGGGCAGTGGATTAATGGCTTATGTTAATCAAAGGGCTTTTCACAGAATTTGAGCTCCAGGAGGGATCAGGGAATGTGGTAGGAGGGCGCTCCAGGGAGCAGAACCATCTTTGAACCGAATGATTAGTGGAAACAAAAGTTTCCTTTTTCTGGAAGCCCCTGGGCTGTGGTCATGCAGGAATAGGACAAAATAAGCAACCAGGGCCATCCTCCAATAAGACAGGATGAGTTAAAAAGATAATGTTGTTTAAATATGGAACTTAGGCTGGCTGTTATCACAGGCTGCAAATCTACAAGGAGGCTTCAGTTTTCAAAGATGTGTAAAAGGACTGGCTTGGGGGAGGGGCAGTTAGCGAGAGACCAGGTCATTTAGCTGGGAATGCCCTGCAGACCTCTCCTTCCACACTCAATGGAGATTCCAGCCGTAAAACAGACAGACATCCACCAGGAGATGCTGTCCAACCTGGCAGAGGATTCCTTGGAGAGAAGGTGGGCTCAGAAGCAACCCAGAAACAAGGCTGGGTGCCCAGAGCCGGAGGAAACTGGAGGGACAGGACCTGCTGTGGAGATGGGGGCTAAAAAGTGACAGTTGCACAGTTGACCAAACGAGGGCAGATGGTTTTGACCCTCAAGAAACAGCATTGAGAGAAACACCCTTTTGCATTTCTAAACGGCCTTGGCCGTGAATTTCTTACAGTTTCTAATTTCCACTGTCAATCGCTGGACCAGAGATGGGAAAAGTGGAGCAGATGTGGCTTTTTAAGAAGTGGCTTTCTTTCTTTGCATCTGCTATCTGGCCAATTCCGGGGCAGCTTGTGAGGGAATGCAAAGAGAGGCAGAGGATGGATCTCTGATCTTCAAACACTGCCACAGTCCCAGACACAGGGAGGCTGCCGCCCTCATACGGATCCGGCTTTCATCTAAAAGCTGGCTTCTGCAGCTCAAGCAGGCATTTGCTGCCAACTGGGGACAAACTTTAAATCCTCCTTGTTAGCCGAGCCACCTTAATGGGCCTGCTTGAAAGAGCCTCTCCCAAGCGTGTGTGGTGTCACACGATCTTCTTGAAACACACTGCTGTCACAGCTAGAGTGGCTGGGTGTCCTTTTTTTCCTAAGTAAACAGGAACTATCACTCTATATGAAAAAAAAAAAAAAAAAAAAAAAGAAATACTTTTCCTCAGCACAAACGCAATCATGCCAACTTAGATTTCCTGTTAATGATGCGGCAGGGGCGGGATCTATTTCTTACGCCAGCACAGGCTTTTTAGCTTCTCAGTGTTGGTGGATAAAAGCCCCAGGAAAGCCTGGCTGACTGGGACAATTTAGGAACACTTTCACGGGACACAAAGAGGCAGAAGTATCACGGTTAGAAAAAGGTAACAATGCCTGGGAAAAACAGAACAGCGCAAAGTCACATTGGAGGGGCAAGACGTACGGTACGCAGCTACACTTTAAGTCACAGCAAAAGTTAGTGTTCTGATACTCGGCCGCCTTTCTACACACAAAATAACTCTGCAGCCTCGAGTCAGGCAGCAGGACCGACCCACGGTGGGAGAAGGAGATGGCTTTTGTTCCGTCACATCAGAACCTGGGTTCGTGTGTCTGGCAGGCGCAGCCCCACGAGTCCTCCACACACGAGTACGGTGGAAGCTAGCAGGATGGGGATTGCTTTGGTAATGCTGACCAAGGAGCCAAATATTAGGTTTCCCAGCACGGCTGCAGCTTTGCAGAGCGCATTCAAAAAGCCGAAGCCTGTTGCTCTGCAAGAGAAAGAAACACGGAAAGGTTTAGAAAACGACACGCTGGAGTTCAGTGTTAGTTCCATGCAGTCCTTTCCAATCGTCTTTAAGTAGATTGTGTTGCATGTCGGTGGGGAGCAGATCATTAAATGCCGACCAACAAATGTGGAGGCAGAGAAGCCAGCTGTAGGTTGTGTGTCCAGTCTCCTGTGGGCGTTCTTACTGCTCTATTGAAAGGAAGGTTCTACTAAGTAAAAGTCAATGACACTCTATATAAATCCTCTCAGCATAGAACCCGGTTGGCCTCTGCCTCCCCCCCCCCCCAAAAGGCCCTAGGGAGTAGCACTGGGTGATCTAGCAAGTTCTCATCTCTTTACAAAAATGACTTGTTATTTTGTTTCATTAAGTGTCCATAGTTTCAGAGATACTTGTATGTAGAAAGAAATTCAAATTTTGTTCTAGAATGGAATACAATGATATGGCATTGGGTTTCTTTAGATTTACATTATTATTATTATTGTTATTATTATTATTATTATTATTATTGACAGGGTTTCTCTGTGTAGCTTTTTGACCAGTCTGACCTCAAACTCTCAGAGATCTGCCTGCCTCTGCCTCCTGAGTGCTGGGACTAAAGGCGTGCACCACTGCCTGGCTAGAATCCTTTTTTTTTGATTTACTTTATTTTTTAATTTCTTCTTATATTCTAGACTTTATTTTTATACTCATTTATTTTTCATTTATTCATCTAGTGTGTATGCTCATGTGTGTTAAGGTGAGCAGGCTTACCGTGAAATATATGTGGAGATCAGAGACCTTGTGGGAATCAGTTCACATTGGAACTGTAATCCTTCTGTCTCAGCCTCTTGAGAACTGTGATTATGAGTATATGCTGCCATGTCAGTACAATGTGTTAGATTTTTTAAGAATTGAAGTCAATTGAATTTTCATGGATAATGGAGATGTGTCCTCCTCTTTGAGGTACCAAGAAGGTGAACTGCCAGACAACATCCCTAATATTTTTGATAGCAAGAAGAAAACAAGTACAGCCTGAGCACTCCTAATGTGGATTATTGAGGCCTTCCTTAACTGCTGTGGAATAGTAAGTAGTTAAAGATGTGTTATATTCTTTTATGCTATGAAATATTTGTTTAATGGTGCAAAAAGATGTGTTGCATTTGTTCAACTCTATGAAGTTGTGTTACTTTGCCTGTCTAAAATGCCTGATTGATTTAATAAAGAGCTGAATGGCCAATAGCTAGGCAGGAGAAAGAAAAAGGTGGGGCTGGCAGGCAGAGGGAATAAAAGGAAGAAGAGAAGATGAGTGATAAAAAAGGAAAAGGAGAGAAGGGTGCCAGGGGCCACCCAGCCACCCAGCCACCCAGCCACCCAGCCATCCAGCTACCCAGCCACACAGCCACCCAACTACCCAGCCACACAGCCACCCAGCCACCCAGCCACCCAGCTACCCAGCCACACAGCCACCCAGCTACCCAGCCACACAGCCACCCAGCCACCCAGCCACCCAGCCATCCAGCTACCCAGCCACACAGCCACCCAGCTACCCAGCCACACAGCCACCCAGCCACCCAGCCACCCAGCTACCCAGCCACACAGCCACCCAGCCACCCAGCCACCCAGCCACCCAGCCACCCAGCCACCCAGCCACCCAGCCACCCAGCCACCCAGCCACCCAGCCACCCAGCCACCCAGCCACCCAGCTAGGATACCAGGGGCCAGCTACCCAGCCACCCAGCCACCCAACCACCCAGCCACCCAGCCACCCAGCTACCCAGCCACCCAGCTACCCAGCCAGCCACAGAGTAAGAAGGAAAGAAATATATATAGAACAGAGAAAGGTAAAAAGCCCAGAGGCAAAAGGCAAGTGGGATAATTTAAGAAAAGCTGTCTAGAAAACAAACCAAGCTAAGGCTGGGCATTCATAAAAAGGAAAAGTCTCCATGTATTAATTTGGGAGCTAGGTGGCAGACTCCCAAAGAATAAAAAACAAGCAAGCAAGCAAGCAAACAAACAAACAAAACCTTACACTTAACTGTTTCAGATTAGAGTTTGGAATATGTGCATAGACATTCCTAGTTGAACACCTTTCATCCAGAAGCCTGAAATCCAAAGTGCTTTATAAACTGAAGCCTACAAGCATATTGGCTTTCAGATTTGTAGTGTTCAGCATTAGGAATGAGCATGGTGGGCCATGGTAAGCTAGCTAATGTAGTGTCACCACCAGCTGGGAGATGGCGAGAGGGCCTGAGTTCAAAACCCCAGAGCATGTAACAATAGCATGGGGGAGGAGATGTGGGCTAGAGAAAGGAAGGCAGATAATGGGAAGTCTCTACTCCGACAGACAGACAGACAGCCTAGCCAAAATGGTTCAATGATAGACCCTGAGTCCAAAAGTCAAAACAAATGAACAAACACCACCAAAGGAAAGGAAGGAAGGGAATAATAAGAAAAGACAACACCCCAATGTCCCCCACTTATATATGCACTTTAATACAACATATACACATACCCTACATCACACACACGTGCGCGCGCGCACACACACACACACACACACACACGCACACACGCACACACACACAATTATCAGATTATGGGCCTGAAGATCTTGCCTGTTTTCTGTTAGCATCTAAGATACTCAGGCATGCGAGGTTTCTCCTCATGTCTTTTCATCCCCATTCCTTCCCTTCCCCCACCTCTTCTCACTTCTTTCCTTTTTCTCCCTCTGAGAATTGAACCCGGTGCCTCAGACCCACTAAGTTAGTCCCATCAGTCATTCCACCCTCACCCCCACAGGTATATTCTTTGGCAAACAAAAATCTTCATCTATTTGGTATTCGTGTATTGAGTGGTTTTCTGTGTCCTGGGCAAGAAACTTGAATCTTGCTCACGATCTTATGTCTCCCACTGACATCATGAGAGCATGTGAGTTTCCCTCTGACATTCTACCAGTTTGTTCTGTGTGGGCTTCTCATTGAGTGTCAGTGGAGATTAAAGGCAGACTACATGTACAGCAATTTTAGGATGCTTTTTCTTTGAACCTACAAAGGAAACTGAACCTTCTGTGTTACAGAATGAAGCAGTTAGCACACACTTTGTGTCTGTGACGACTGACTTGTCAGTCTATAGGTATGGGCTTTCCTTTGACAACTGCTCATACAGTAGTGCTATTTTCTGCACTGTGTGTTTTCAGAACCCTGCTCCCCCACTCCCAAATATATATTATGGTTCCTATGCAGCCAGCCACTTGCCACTCCAATGAAAAGGAACCAACATCTCTAAACCCTCCACCCCTGAGCTCAGGAGCCCAGACTGGGTGCTAACACCTCCTAAAAATGAGTTTGCTGGCTCACACACGTCTAAGACAGAGCAGCAAACAACAAAATAAGACTCAAATAAATAGAACTCCTTCATGCTCAATTCCCCCTGACCTAAAGTACAGGTGTGCAGAGAGCAAAGGTTTCTCAACTTTTCTTGCCAGCGATCACCCAAAGAGAAGAACAATATGGTTTGCCGCCTCTCTGCTAACCCACCCTCTGCACTTCTCTCCAGCCAGTTCTTGTTCTCAGGTATTGGTTAGACACATCTTTAACATGCCAGTCCTTATCCTATGCAAACCTGGTCCCTTCAGAGCCAGGTCTCCATTCTATCCAGATGCCTTGATGGGCTAGCACTAACTAACATCATCATTAGTGGCTGCTGACCACCAACACTAGGCTCATTCTGGGTTTGGTCCTCCTATAGGGATTGATAAATAGATGATGACATTTGCCACACAATATGGCAGCACTCCAATAATTACTCCATTGCCCTAGAAATCTGCTGTGTCACCTGTTCATCCCACCCCCTCCTAAGGCCCAGCTCCCCATGTTCCTTTGTTTGACAAACTGTCATGAGCTGTCACCTTCATCTTCTAGTGTTAAGATAAAGTGCATCCTGCTGGGGGAGAATGGCTAGAGCATGTGTGTTGCTGATAAGGAAAAGGAAAACATTCCCCTGCTATGATGAAGTCTAGGACTCCAAGACTTCAGAATGACCCACGTAGGATTTACATGTAGGCTAGAGCACCCATATGTCTTTAAGCCATGATCCTCTGCTGTGACCCAGAACAGGGTATAAAATATGGAGGGCTATCCCCTCACATCCCTGGATCTGGAACTGGGGACCAGATGACTTCTGGAGTGACATTGATGCGGTTGGCGTTGGGTAAATGTGGTACTCTAAGGGGGATGAACACATTCTTGTTTCCTAACACTCTCCATCTTCATTTCCCAAGCTGAGGCAGTGCTTCAGATAAAACTTTAGTGTCAGCATTCAAGAACTCATGTCTGCTTTTTCTGAGTGCGTAAGTTATTCCTTCAAATATCTGCAGCTGGAGAGCGTGAGGCTCGGCCCATCCAAGGCCCAGCTGTGTTAGAGAAACATTCCAAAAGCAAGTCTTCCTAGCGGCTATCTGCTTTCTCTACAGCACAGCTTTCATTCATTTCATCTCTGCTTTTTCTCAAAGTAAGGGCATTGCTTCTGCATGTCATCTCATGCTCACAAAGTCTTCTGAGGGCAAGGAACATTTCCCTTCTCAGCGGAAGGCTGGGTCCTGTATTCTTTTTCAGACCAAGACATTTTCCTGCCTCCTCTTTCCCAGCAATCATCAAAAGGGGGGAGAGAAATCTCTCTCTCTAAGCCCTGCCCTCTGCACTTCTCTCCTGCCAGACTGCATTCTCTATGATTGCTTATACACATCTTTAACACATAAATCCTTTCCCTACACTGACCACACTCCCCATTCTATCTCCCCCAAGGTGAAGCATAGCTGGTACTTTGGAAGATTTCACAATGTAGTGGGTTCTAGTTTATTTATATTGTTTTTATGACTCATTTAGTTAAATTTTATTGTATTATTTTATATGTATGGACACTTGGGTGCCAGAAGAGGGCGTCTAATCCTTTTTAAGTAGAGTCAGGACCATTGTAAACCATGTGTTGGGTACGAGGAATCAAAC